ATTTTGTAATGATTTCTCTTATTAAGAAAATTCTGCAGTAGTCGTTAATCGTTTTTTATCCTGATTATTATTATCATGCAATTTTTCCAAGCTGAATTTTCTTTTTTTTTTCCTTATAGGAACTGAAGATTTAATAATTTTTTTGTACTCCCTAAAAATCTCAAAAAAAAAAAAAAAATGTTTAAAAATAACACATGGAAAAAATATAAATAATTGTTTATTTGTTTATTTGTATTATTTGTTTAATAAAAAAAAAATAAATATTTTGTTTTTCAAGTTCGGCCAATTTTTAATTGCTGTCAAAGGTCATCAGAGAAAATAAATATTAAAAAAAAAAAAAAAAAAAAAAAAAAGGAAATGAAGTTTTCAATCAATCACCTTTTTTTTGTATAATTTAAAATAAAATAAATATGACTAAAAGGAAATCATTTGTTAATTTTATTATTATTATTATTTTTGTTAATTGAAGAACTTGATGATGATGATGATGATGATAGTTGAAAGGTTTTAAGTAAAACAAATTTAAAAAAAAAGGAAATAAATTATTTTTCTAAAAGGAAAATATTTTGAAACTTTTGAATCAAGTTAAATTAAATGCATAATATGAAAAACAGCAAATGTTGACTGTTTTATACTTGTCAAATCAATAATTAATAGTTTATTTAATTTTTTATTTAAAAAATAAGAAGAAGAATAACTTTTATGACAAATGCAACTAAAAATTAACCCATAAACAAAGTTGACTCAGTCTATTACAAATATTTGATGGTCATAATATTGTTGACTTCTATCAAAATATGTGTTTTGCATGTGTTTTTGATAAGAATAATTTATGTAAAAAAAATTTGCTGATGTAATGTAAAAAAATTACTGACGCAATTGATGCTGTTGACGCATTCGAATAATCAGATGATAGTTAAATAATGTAATTATTAAAAAAAAAAAAGAAAAGTTTAATCAATTAATAATAATAATAAATATTACAAAATAACATTTTTTTAATCATGAATTTTTAATAATATAAATATTTTAATAGGAATTTTTTTTATTTAAATATTATTATCCGGGTAATATAATAAATAATATTTTTTTATAAATCTTACTTTTTAAGTAATAAATTTTCAATTCCTGAAGTACTGAGTTTCTAATAAAAGATGGCTTGATTTTTCAAAATTTTGAAAATTAATCATAAAAATTACTTTTCAATTAAAAATAATTTATATAAGTTACCGTAGAACTTATTTTGTATATTATTTTTCAATTAATATAACTTAACTTACAGTAAAAACTTATTTTATTGTTACAAAAAAATTTCATGTAATTTGATTTATTTATAAAATGATTTGTCCGCCTTTTTCGTG